GGTGTGCCGCGACAGTGTGGAAAAATAATTCCAAGTTTTACAATAATTAACCATGTTACGATGATAACAGTAATGAAAAATACTGAAACATAATTTTATTTCTACATCTCAGCAAGGTTGGCTAATATTGTGTTAGCCTCCCCTCTCGTCTCTAATCTTCTTCTTTTCCTATCCATACGGCAGCGTAGAAACTAACAATGAAGTGCCATGTATGCGCTACGCCGGCATGGCGGCTATGCTGTCAGTCAGCTGCTTGACAGTAGCCAACACGCATGATAATTTATTGAATTTATTATTTCCACCGATATGAATAAACAGAGTAAGTTACATTTCTTTATAAAAAAGGCAGAAGTGAGTGAAAATAGTACTTCTGAGGAGCCAGTACCATCAACAAGGGAAGTACACGTAAACATTTCTATTTCTCAACAATGTGATACATCTTCCCTAGAACAAAAAAGGAAGAAAACGGTGTGTCAAAAATATGATCCTTCATACCTAGCGTTCGGATTCACATATAAAGACAATTGTCTGCAATGCGTTATTTGCGTGGAGGTTTTGTTTAATAGTGCTATGGTTCCATCAAAAACTTAAAAGGCATTTGGAAACAAAACACCAGCAATTTTAGAATATGCCAATAGATTTTTTTTTAAAAGAAAAGAGAGCAAGGTGAAAGCTCAGAAGAAACTGATTCGAAATACGGGAACTGGAAATGAAGCTGCCCTTAAAGCATCATTTTTTATATCACTTTGCATTGCAAAATCAAAGAAAAATTTCACCATAGGGGAAGACTTAATTATGCCTTGTTTGGTGGATGCAAGCCGTGCACATTTGGGAGATGAAGCTGCCAAAAAGCTGAAAAACAAATCCTCTTTATAATTATACCATTTTGAATCACATAACTATGATGAGTGAAGACATTCATCAACAACTTTTAAAAAAAATTAAAACATCAAAGATGTATGCTCTTCAATTGGATGAGTCGACTGATATTGTTGACAAAGCTATGTGATTTATGTAAGTGTGGTATGTAGACTGGGATTAAGAAGAAATTAAAGAAGAATTAATGAAGTGTCTGGAACTGAAAAAATATACAATTGGCACAAAAAAAATTTCCACATTGTCAGATTATTTCTTAAGTACTGATTTAAAAAAGTCAGACTGAGTTTCAATTTGTACTGAGGGTGTGGCTAATATGAGTGATAGGCATTCAGGATTAGTCACAAAAGTGGAATAAGTAGCGCCAAAAATACAAGGCACACATTGGATTATAAATCGAGAAATGTTAGCAAGTAAAAGTATAAGTGCCGAATTAAATCAAGTGCTAACAGCAGCTGTCAAAACAGTCAATTTCATAAAATCCAGCACTCTTAATTCACCACTGTCTGCAATCTTATGTGATGAAATGGCATCCACACATAGAACTTTATTACTGTATGCGGACATTCGCTGGCTATCGAGAGGCCGGGTATTGAAGAGGCTGTGTGAACTTTAAGAAGAAATAATCATATTTCTATCAAGCAAAAACTGGGACCTTGTTCAGTACTTCAAAGACATAGATTGGAATATGAAATTGTGTTATCTTGAGACATATTCCAGCTTCTGAATGAGTTAAATTTGTCTCTTCAGGGATCACATAAAACTATTTTTAACACCTATAATAAAATTGAAGGGCAAAAGAAAAAAATAAACTGCGAATCGAAAGAATTGAAAACAACTGTTTTGATATGTTTAGTACCTTAAAGGAGCTTATGAATGAGGCAAAAGAGAAGACTGAAGATTACAGTTTCTCAGCTTCATCTGATTATTGTTAATCACTTGAAAATGTCACTCTAATTTTAGAAGTATTTCACTTCAAACCAGATCCAAGGGAAGCTTTTTTGTGGATTTTGGATTTATTCAATTTAACTAGCCAAACAAGCACCCTATCTATGAATGAAAAGGAGATGTTGGCAGATCTATCCTCAGACGTCATGTTGAAAAAATTGAAAAACAATTTATCACTAGATCCAAGGGAAGCTTTTTTGTGGATTTTGGATTTATTCAATTTAACTAGCCAAACAAGCACCCTATCTATGAATGAAAAGGAGATGTTGGCAGATCTATCCTCAGACGTCATGTTGAAAAAATTGAAAAACAATTTATCACTCAAAGTTTTGAACAAAAGTCCATAGTGAATAGGACCTGTTGAGTGAAAAAGCATTGAGGGTCCACTTCCTTTTCCTTCAATGTACCTTTGCAAAAGTGGATTTTCAGCAGTCACTGCAATCAAGACCAAATAACAAAATAGGTTGACTGTTACACCTACATTAAGACTTTCTTTAAAAAAATCTCACTCCGAACATTGATGAAATATGCCATCAAATGCAAGCTCATCTATCCCATTCAGATTCATAGTTAATGTTTATGATTAGTTTAATAATCATAATATTTGTTAAACTACAATTATTGGCATATGGTTTTGGTGTAATATGCGAAATGTGTTATAATATAATTGCTTTGTGCTATCTCTGCTCTTTTTTTGTTGTTGTTACACTTCCTTGATATGGTGTATATTTTCTGTTATTAAAACCAGATACCATGTTTCTGACAACTTTTTTTTTTTAAAGAAAATTTTCATAGGTATTTCTCAATGTTTGTATTTGGTGTTCCTTGGTCTTGAAAAAGTTTAGGAAACACTGGTCTAGAGGGTGCTTGGTCATCAGGGCTCAACGTTGCTAGGTTGCATGCATGGTCCACATGAAGACTTCCTGTATATGGAAAATGGTGCATTACAGCCAACTGAGAACAGAAACCCACTCTGTGTTGACCCATCTTCGGATATAGACACTTTGAAGGCCAATCTCAAAGCATGCAAGATAGACATTAAGATCAAGTGGTTTTTACATGCATGTTCCTCTGTCTGCAAATCTCATCACAGCAACAAAAAACAATCTTTATCCAGATTATCTTTCTCTTCATCTGATTGGTTGGGCTACTGTGCATTGACTAATCTTCAACACTCGTGTTCCTTATCGATATAGAATGTACTGTTGACTTCTAGAAAACTGTCTACTAGAAAGTGTTTGTTTAAAAATGGTCTAGCTTTATTCCTTGGCTTTACCAGGAGTTTCCCCCTCCAAAAACCTTATGCTAAAAGGGGCAGTCTGTGATACATACTTTAGCTGCTAGAAAGAAGGTTCTTTGTATATTATTTAAATGGAACTGAAAGTTTTAGGAGATGATGTGGATTATTTGTTTTTATGCTAAGAACAATACTGATTAGTGGCAGTATTCCCTGTAAGATGAACAATTGGGTGGCCATCCAGGAGAGATTTAAATGCCTCTCAGTTGGTTAGCAAAGCACCCTCAGCTATTAGCATGTGTTTCTACTGGTGGTGCACATCTGCACATGCCTTGGTATACACGACAAAATGTATTCCATGGGTAAATGGGGGGGAAAAATAATGGAACACAGATTAGTGGGCATGTCTGCTCAGATTATTTCCAGGTGGGTAACACAAAGCAGTGTTCTGTTGCATGGTGTCTTTCTACTAGTGCTGTAACAGCATCTTTCACTTGCCTTAACCATGCCCCTAGTTGGGAAATGTGCAGGACTGCTATTTGCAAGTCAAAACACACTAAATGATATATTCTAGATGTAGCTTCAAGAGTAGATGCACATCTTGCAGAGCAGTGCTTCAGCTGTTACTCAATTAGGACTCTGTTCACACTTGCTGGGTTTTCAGCATTGCTTGTTAATCTAGCCATAAAGTAGAACTATGCAGATACATTCAAAGAACCAATAAGCTTGGTTACCGTAACCACAGTTTTGCAAAATGACTACATATTCACACTTCTGCCCACCTTAACCTCTTTCTCAAAATCCTATTATGGTGCCTCTGGGTTAGCAGTGGAAATGATAGAGAACACAGCACCATTTATACGGCCTCATCCTTTGAATGTCTGGAAATGCTGAGGGAAGGATTAGAAAGTGATCCGTGTGCACCAAAACAGGATATACAGGTCTAACAGACTGGAATATTAAACTTGATAGGTTACATGAAGTATTTTGTTCAAAGCATCTCTGAAAGCCAATTTTCATAAAGCATGAAGAAGAAGCAATAGGCTTAAACTGCAGCAAGAGAGGTTTAGGTTGGACGTTAGGAAAAAGTTCCTAACTGTCAGGGTGGTCAAACACTGGAATAAATTGCCCAGGGAGGTTGTGGAATCTTCATCTCTGGAGATATTTAAGAGTAGGTTAGATAAATGTCTATCAGTTTAGACTGATGGTCTAGACCAGTGGTCCCCAATGTGGTGCCCGCGGGTGCCATGGAGCCCGCCGGGGCATTTATGCATGCTCGCCAAGTGATCGGGGCTGACCCTGTCCCAGGCATGCAGCATATGGGTGGCCCCGCCCCCGGGAGCCGCAAAAGGTTGGGGACCATTGATCTAGACAGTATTTGGTCCTGCCATGAAGGCAGGGGACTGGACTCAATGACCTCTTTAGGTCCCTTCCAGTCCTAGTATTCTATGGGGAGGATAACCATCACAATGCTTCAATATTTTTAGCCCATTTAAAAAGAGCTATCTTGGTTCTTACAATCTTGGTCATCACTGTCTAAATAATAAAAGCACTACTTTAGATTTAAGTACATGTCTCTTACTAAATTTAAAATGCAGAGGCACAGCTGTCCAGGAGCAGTGCCAGCTCATGCCGGGTCTGGGAATTACCCCTGCTACAGCTCTGTAGTTTAAATGTAGTACGAGCTTAGCTGCCTACATGCCCAGCTCCTACTACATTTAAACTGCAGAGCTGCAGCAGGGCCCCTGATCGACTAATCATGTAGTCATTGCAAATTGAATACACTACAATGATTAGTCAATTTCCCCTCACAATACACTACAATGATTAGTCAATTATTTGCTTTTTAACATCTTTAGAAATGAGTCCAAAAATCTTTGAATCTGGCTGTTACTTTGAAAAAACTCATTTTTCCATAGAATTCTCAGTTGAACATAAAGACAGTAAGAAGAAAGTTTAATATTTATTAATGCATATATTTTAAAGATAATTTTCTTAATGTAACAAATATAAAAAGTTCAGTGTTTTACAAATTGTCAAAAATGTCCAAAGTACAAAAAGGATATGATATACTAGATAAATGGAAATGATTGTACGATCTGGCACCAAAGTACTTAATACTGTGGGCATGCACACTGTAAACCAGAAAAGCGCATGCATTATTTGCACAAATAAAGAAATAAGACATGATTACTGCATTATCTGATTATAAATTCATTGCTTCTGTCAGTTTTCTTTCTTCAGGGATACCATTTACCTGTAAATAAATAAGAATGTATATAATCTATTAATGGCTGCAGCTCCTCTTAGAATATAGAACTACTACTGTCACCATTATAAACAGGAATTATGTGTCATTTCCATAAGCCTCCAGAACTCAAAATATGCATTAGAATGGTCCGCAACTCAAGCCCATGGCCACCCAACTGTCCACATTTCATGGAATATATGACAACTGCAGACGTTTTTTCCAGATTCTTCCAAACCAGAATCAAAATCCAAACGTGTCTCTCTCTTTAGAGTTCCTGTATTTACACAGGCCTGCATAACTTTACTTTCTTACTCCAAAGACCCGGAGGTTACGTCTACATTGGCATGATCCTGCGCAAATCCTCTTTAACGCAAGAGAATTTGCGTGCCTTTGCGCAAGAGCATCCGTGCCAGTGTAGACGCTCTCTTGCGCAAGAAAGCTGATGGCCATTTTAGCCACTAGGCTTTCTTGCGCAAAAAATTCATGTTGCCTGTCTACACGGACCTCTTGCACAAGAACAGTTGCACAAGAGGGCTTGTTCCTGAGCAGGAGCATCATAGTTCTTGCGCAAGAAGCACTGATTTCACATATTAGAACGTCAGTGTTCTTGTGCAAGAACTGCCCACCAGTGTAGACAGGCAGCATGCTTTTGTGCAAAAGCAGCCACTTTGGCGCAAGATCGCGCCAATGTAGATACAGCCTAATAGTAAATGTGTATGTATAAAAATGCGCTGGCCTTGGGGATCCCCAGCCACCACTGGCCCCACTGCTGCTGGCACAACTAGGGATTCCCAGTGTGATCTCTCCAGTCACCCCTGGAGATCCCCAGTCACTAGCTCACTGCTGCAGACATAGCCAGGGACCCCAGCCTGGCAATCCCTAGCCACCACCAGCTCCACTGCTTCTGGTGCAGGTGGGGATCCCCAGCTGCTGCTGTCCCTACTGCTGTCAGTATGAGCAGGGATTCCCAACCCTTTGGATCCCCTGCTGCTACAGCCTTGCTGGGATTCTCGGCCCTTGAGATCTCCAGGGCTCCCTACCATTCCCTTCCCCCCTTCCCCTCCCCCCCCCCCCCCCCCCGCTGCCATTGGCCCCATTGGGGATTCCTGGCCCTGGGGATCCAGAACCACCAGCAGCCCTGCTCGAGATCCCCAGTGGTGGGAGTCCCTGGCTGCTGCTGGCCCTGCTGCTGCCAAAACAGCTGGGGATTTCCAGCCACTGCTAATCCCTCTGCTGCTGGCATGGCTGGGGATCCCTGGACTGGGGCTCTTTAGTCCAGCAACATTCACTGTTTTGCCATACCATGAAGGTTGCCGGACCACAGAGTCCCAGATTTGAGAGACTGACCTGTATTTGCATTACATCATGGGATGCAATTCTTCCCTGTGCAATCAGACCATAGGAGGTTCAACAATGAGCAGAAATGGAAAGAAAGGGTTTGACCAATGCAACAGAAGAGGTGTTGTTTTACACCACCAAGAGCTTGCCCTAAATATTTCTTGAACTGCAGATAAAAGAAATGATGGATTCTCCAACTTAACCATGTGCAGTGAAAAGTGACGCCATAACTAACTCAGGCCCACCAAGGGTATGTCTACACTACCCCGCTAGTTCGAACTAGCGGGGTAATGTATGCATACCGCACTTGCAAATGAAGCCCGGGGTTGGAATTTCCCGTGCCGCGTGTAGCCGCGCGGCACGGGGTTCGAACTAGCCGGGATTTAAAAATGGCGGCGCCCGGCTTATGCAAATGAAGCCTGGGAAATTCAAATCCCGGGCTTCATTTGCAAGTGCGGTATGCCTACATTACCCTCCTAGTTCGAATTAGGAGGGTAGTGTAGACATACCCATAGAATGCTGCCTGTTACGGCCTATAAAGGAGCATAACCACAGTTGAGGGGGTGTACCTGTCTCATGGGCAGCAGTCAGTTGGGTGTACATGTAGTGATTAATGTACACACTATGGCCATAGAGTTGATTTTACTCCTGTGCATATTCTTTCTAGCATTACTAATCACAACTCCCCTCACCACGTGCATATCAAAGCCAAAAAAAAGACAATATTTTCCTGGAAAAAGTATTCACAAATTATACAAAAGACACCAGTAATTATGTGTTCCTGGTACTGCAGTGGTGCACAGAAGCCCCAGTTGGATTGTGGTGCTGGGTACTGGACATACTAGAGGTATAAAATCCCATTTAATCAGTTAAGTGATTAAACATTTTGTTTAACTGGTTAATCACTGAAGAGGCCCAGGGTTGTTCAGGAGGGCTTGGAGTGCCCCCCACTTGCAGCATGGTGGGCTACTCCAAGCTAGCACAGCACCCTACCCTCCAGCCTGGTTGAGCCCGCTATACCACGGGCTGCTCTGGCCAAATTCGGCCTGCTACGGGTAGGAGTTGCTTGAGCCAGGCTGGGCCTGCTGCACCATGCCTCAGGAGGAGGAGCTGCTCCAGCTGGGACAGAGGACCCCCCCACCACCACCAGCATAGCACCGTGAGCCCAGCCAGGCTGGAGTAGCTCCCTTCCTGTGTCAGGTGAGGGGTTATTCCAACCCACCCATGACCCGAGTTAACAGCAACCAGTAAGGGTGATGTTTACCAGTTAACCATACACATCCCCAGGACAAACAGATGGACAGGAGCCCCATCAATGTTCTCTGTAATCTGTGCAGCAATCTGGTACCTATCACACATCTCACATGGCTGGGAGAACATTTGGCCCTCAACCTGGCAGAACCCACAGCAGCTTCTTGTGGTACCAGGAGCCAACAGGGGGGAGGAGTAGGAAGAGGGCAGTGGCTGACAGGAGCATGGCTGTGACTTGGATCTCACTCTGCCCTCAAGCTGAAACTCCCCGAAGCTCCTCCACGCTGCAGGAAACCACAAGTTGGCAGAGAGGGATTAGGATCAGGCGTGTGACCAGGGTATTGTTTAGGTAAGGCGGAAAAGGGGATGGGAAACCTATTCCTGTTCTGGAGCACAGAGGCTGGCTGTAGAAAGGCAGGTCCCTACTAATATTGAAATCCGCCCCAGCAGCCTAGCCTGGTAGGGAGCTGTGGGCTTCTGGGGGAGGCCACTGTGTCACTACTGCTGGGAGAGGGGTTTGTACATTAGGTGCTCTGAGTCCTTGAAACTATGTGCTGGGAGGAGGGGATGAATTACCCTAAATCCCTTCCTCCAAAGAAGCCTGAAGCTAGGAGGGAAGAGTAAAAAGCAGGGGTGCTCTCAAAGGCGGATTCTCATGGGAGCCAGGTGAGTATAGAGAGTTCTGCTTTCTGTGATTATTTGCGTGGTTTTTAACTCTCAGACTCTGGAAAACTAATAAATAGTGAAACCACTTGTATGAATGCCTGTGTCCCCCATATGGATGTGTATTACTGAAAGGTCACTAAAAATACCTTTCACTTTTCAGTGGAATATATTGTATAAAGATGTTAATGTTTTTTTATTTTAATGTAAGCTTGTCCAAGGACAAAAATATAGTACTCAGTGGAGTTCTTGCTCACTGAGAACAAAGAAAATTTAGAGGGAATGTTGGTCACCATGCCGAAGAAACTACCCAAGCCCCTTTTTTTAAAACTGTGTAGAAAATGGGTGTAGTAAGATGAAGGCCTAAAACATAAGCCCATGCAGCCTAGGCCTGGTCTGAGGCCTAGCTAACAATGGACAAAACATGGCTAACATAAAGCAAAACTAAGCTGTGAGCAAGAGGCAGGCCCCTGCTGACAGAACTTGGCACAAACACGGCTGAGAGAGCAAAAACACTAAGTAGTAATAGGCCCAGATGCAGAACAATAACTGGTACTGGTCATAACTTGAAATCACATGATACCAACAGCTCCTTAAAAAAGACCTGGGTACCCACTCCTCACAGGTTCAGGAAAGAGTCTAAAATGACAGCATGATGGATAGAGATGGTCTAATCAAACCATGAAGTACAGGGTGATGGGTGGTAACTAAGTAACATCAGAGGGTGGTAACCTGACAACTCAGAGGTTGGCAACCTGATACATTAACAGTGTGTGATTTGTTTGTACCTGTATATAAAGTGGTGTCTGGGGGAAGTGGGGGAGACAGTCTTTGGATAACCTGGGAGACAGTGGAAATTTCCCATTGATTGAGTCATTCCATTGTGGCAAGTACATATGCGTAGTGGTTCAGTAGAGTCTACTGATAACTGTTACTGTACTTCGAATAACAATAAACCTGGCCTGGCACCTTCGATCCTTATCTAGTTTGTGGTGTTTGGGGGCCCTCTTGGGGTCTGCTGTAATCATTGGGCCCACATCATTGAATAAACATGCAAGTAGCCTTCTGGTTATCATCAACAGAGCCAGAGACCTGTGAGGACACCACAACAGTAAATCCTCCTAACTACAGTGGGGGTACTTAACCCTCTGGGGCACCTCTGAGCTGCTACAAATAATGTTTTTTAGAGTTCAGTTGTTTAAACGGGCTACCTATGAGACAATGCAACCTTTTGAAACTTGATAAACTGGGCTGAGCTCACAATATTGGGAAATATACTATTTTATTGGACCAACTTCTGTTGGTGAGAGAGACAAGCTTTTAAGCGACACATAGCTCCTCTTCGCACCTGACCTGAAGAAGAGCCCTGTGTAGCTTGAAATCCTGTTGATAAAAGTTGGTCCAATAAAAGTATTACCAGCCCATCAGGAACAACAGTGAAGAAGCCAGACACAGAGCTAATTGTCCATTAGCAAAAGACACCTGAGTGGGGACAACTGCCTTCCTGCAGATTGCTGAGTCCATGTCACCTGATAAATTCTGTACTTTTCCACAGAAGTGTGAGGGAATAAAACGCAGGCTAACCACCCTAGGAAAATTTTACATAAGGCAAGAGAAGTAAACAATGATTATCTTCAGCTGGCTTTAGAGATGGCCTCCCCACCCCAAGAGGACATATGAGAACACCTGGAAACAAAAGGATTTCAAGGACAGGGGTTGGATCCAGGTCAGAAAAAACATCTCTGGCCTGAGAAGGACTTTACCTGAAATAAGAACTAGGGTCAAAAATTATTATTTGTAATAAGTTCTGTTAGCGTATTAAGCTTAGCTTGTGTCTTTGGTTTTATTTTGTTTAGCAACCTACAATGTTCTGTTTATCTTATGACTCTTTAAATCCTATGCTTCATACTTACTAACTTTACTTTTGTCTATTAATAAGCCCCGTGTAAACATTGTTACTTGGGGAGCAAACAGCTGCACATCTCTCTCTTTCATTGATGAATGGCATGACCATTTTATGAGCTTGCTCTGTATACAGAGCAAGATAGATTTATTTGGCGTTTTAGTCCCTTTGGGACTGTATGCCTGGGTGCTGTAGCAAAGGGGTTTTGGTCCCTTTGACTGAACCTTTGCAGAGCTGATCTGATCTCAATATTACTCTGCTGTGGGCTGTGACCCCAACTTTGTGCCAGTGCTGAAGGAGACCAGAGCGTCTGGCTTTGCAGGACAGTAGTGGGGTGCCCCAAAGGGCAAGTAGACAGGTTCAGCACATCAAGTGGCAGTCTTAGGGGGATCTCTGACCAAACCCAAAACAGCAGAGAGGGGTGTAGTTTTACAAAAATAGTGTATTACAGAAAACAAGATAAAGGTGGAGGGTTAGCTATAAGGAAACGTGTACAATGTATTTTTATATCAGTTTTTGTTCGGGTGGCGCTAAAATTTGCTGTTCTGCATTTATTTCACACCTTTGTTTGCGCTGAGCATGTATTTAAAGGTCTATGCTTTCCTTGGATTTTCTTTTATTTGCCACTGCAGGGTCAACTACAACCCTGATGGGAAAAAGATGTGAGACCAGAAATCTGCGGTGCCTAGTTACAGCTCTGTGTAGCAGGGACGAGATGCCTCTTACAATTTCCAGGTTCTCAGGGTAGATAGAATACACGTCCAGGACTATTCTAACCTGTGTCACCTGGCAACAGTCCCTAATGGACCATACAAAAGCTAAGAATAACTGAAGTGTGCTGCACTCTGCCCGTATGTCCATTGTGGCATCCAGGGGTGATGCATGGGGGGAAGCACGAAGGGTTGTATGCCCCTCCCCTACCCATGTCAGGGAGGGAGTGACAAGGCCAGCAGTGTCAGAGCCTCTGTTCTTCCAGACACACTGCCTGGCTGCTGCATTCTCCCAGACAATCTCTAGTCCCTTGCCAGGGAGAGATGGAGACGCTATCCAGGACAGAGTCCCACTTCCCTCCCTCCCCCCCGCCTCCAGGTAATGGGATGGGGAGGGAGGGTCCTTAAAATTTATGATGCCCTATGGGGGAGAGGAAATTAGGGTGGCTGCTTTCCAGGGAGAATGTGCTTATGGCTGCTGGGGCAGGAACAGGGCAGGGAGGCTACTGTATTGTTTCTAGTAATACAAATATTGAACAAGGGGGACACATTTTCAAATGGTCTCAAAACCCTAGTAAATGCTGTGTAAGTTTCTGCTGTCTAGAACTATGCATTTCAATTTTGTTTTGAAGCTGAATTGTGTGTTGTTTTACAACTGACTAAAACATTTTACTCTGTGTGATGAGTGATGCTAAATTTAAACCTAACCCTCAGGATAGAAATCCACTATACCATCTACTACTTTCTGAAAATTATCTGAAATCAAAGCCATTTAATGATATTGTGCAGAATTATCAAATTTGTATACGTTTTTAATTCTTAGAAAACTAAACACAAGGCCATAAACATCTATTATATACTTGCCTCAAATCTTTGAAATGTTGTCATACGAAATTCTCCTTTAATCCCCGAAAGCAGTAATAAAGAAGAAGAATTTTGAATGAAAACACCAAACAAGGGTTTCTTACATCTAGGACAAACCTTTGTGTATAAGAGGTGCACACATATTATGATAGGTATAACTCTTATTTCTGTTGTGGATATTTTCCTTCCCCCGGGCAACCTCAGACTTGGTTAGCCATAGCATACCTTCTAAATAACCCACCTATCTTGGCCTCTGCATTTTCCTACTGTGATTCTTATAATCTCTCTTACAAATGTAGATTTCTTTCTCAAATCAGAGATGGTAACTGACATAAGCAGCTGATGCCTCAAATTTTTGCTCTTAACCAATGAAATTCATTCACTAAGGCCAATGGAAATCTACACCATGGATAAAAAGCTTCAGAGGGGTAGCTGAATTAGTCTGTAACTAAGTTACACCATGAATATAATTGTTCTGCCCAGAAATTCCACCCTTTCCCACCATTGCCCTTGTTAATATCTGGTAAAAGCAAGATAAAATTGCTACTTTAGCCCTCATTGTTCTTAACAATATCAAGACATTGGATGTGGCTAGCTGTTGGGATAAGGAAAACTAGTCTGTGAGATGATATCAGTTTTAACTTCACTGGATTTTTGTCACTATTCTCACTTGCATTGTAACCTTTCTGAGTACTCCCAAACTGCCCCAGGCCAAACTTTTCTAGTGATTTTTTTGCAGGAAAATTGGAACTACAATTTTTCAAGATATTTTAACATTTCAAAATTGTTTCTACAGGTCAAAGGTTGATTAAATATTGGCTACTGATTTTTTCCCCCCACTATCACTTGGTCTTTCAGTATTGTTTTTTATACTGACCTGCGGTCTGTTGCTGTGGAATCTGAGTTTGAAGTGGCAGATTCCTAAAAATAATAATTTAACATATTTTAAAAATCTATATATTATGTACAGTACACTCATATGAACACTATCTTGATATTTAAACTGAACACTTACCATTCTTCAATGAGGCAATAATCTAGAGTCCCTCAAGAGGATAAACCAAGTGGCCAAAAGGCTAAGAAGTTGAACCTGAGCAAGGAACTAGATTATTGCTAAAGCATAGCAGTATGATTCTCACAGCAATACCAATGTTCAAATAATACATAATTTACTAAGTGAAAGCTGTATCACACCAGAAGGAAGGTAAAGCAAGTTGAATTTTTAAGATGTAGACACTTGCAACAAAGACCTGTATAGATAGCTTTGTTAACATTTGGTATGTATTTATATAATCTCTAGGTACATTATGGCCTGATTTTGGAACTCTTTAGAATACTGTATATTACAGATCTGCAGCCAAAGTTCCCATTGCTACTACTGATGGGTTGAGAGAGACTAGACCTTAAACTCTGCATTGAACACACACTGAATGAATGGTTCCCACCTTGTTCTTCATACCAGTGTAACCAGAAAGGTAAATTTCTTATTTTGGAAGGCAGGAAAAAAGACCTTTTTGCTTGTTGTTTCAAATAGCAACTTTAGGTAGTTTTGAATGTTACATGCACTCTTAGCAGATGTGGATGAGTGGTCAGAGTGCAGGTGAGGCAATTAAAGCTGCATTGATTTATGTCAATTATAACTAAAATAAGGAGAAAAGCATCTATCCTATAGCCCTATAAAAGTCAAAGCAACTATTAATGTGAGAAAAATTATACATAAGCATTTGAAAGATCAAGGCCTAGGTACATTAAGTTAGGCAAGAAAGTATCCTATTATGGATTTAGGCAACTCTAGACTGTTTAACACAACATATAGATCATAAATATATGTAATCCTAAGCCCCCCAAAACAGTTGTTTTCAATGCACTAGGAGCAGATATAAATAGGGCCCAACCAAATTCACAGTCATGAAAAATGTGCCATGGATGGTGAAATCTGTTTTTTTGTATGCTTTTACTTTATACAGATTTCACGGGGCAGACCAATGTTTCTTCAATTGGTGATGCTGACCTAAAATGGAGTTGCAAGGATGATCACAAGGTTATTTGAGGTGTGTAGCGGTATTGCCACCCTTACTTCTGTGCTGCCTTCAGAGCTGAGAGGCCCAGTTCTGCAAGCAGTAACAGAAGTAAGGGTGGCAATACCATATCATGCCTGACGTAAGCCATGTCTACAGACTTGCACTTGGTAAACACCTTTGGTGCTGTAGTCAGGCCAAATAGGAGGACCCCACACTGTTAGTGGGCCAAACCCACTGTAAAACAAAGAAAGCTCCTGTGCCCCAGGAAGATAGTTACATGAAATTATACCAATACCAATCACACAGATCTCGACAGGAGATAATGGAGGCCAGGAGGACCATACAAAAGTTAGCGTCTTTAGGTATCTGTTGTTTAGATATCTATTGAGGTTTCACAGGTCCAGGATGAAATGCAAACTATTTTTGGCTTTTGGGATCAAAAAACACCAGGAACAGAAACCCTCCTTCTATAGGAAGATGGAACCTCCTCCACCGGCCCCAGCTCTAAGAGGCCCTGAACCTCCTGTGTGAATAGACTCTCATGACAAGGATTCCTGAAGAGGGACAGAGAGGGATATGGGGGGCAGAAACAAATTGGAGCATGTACTATGCACTATCATACCGAGGATCTAGTGGTCCAAAGTTATCACAGTTTCTGTTGGGAGGTAGAAAGGAATTTGCAAAATATTGGGAAAATCAGATCCCAATACCAAGCGGGCAGGCTGAGAGGGAGGCAGCTCCTGTACATTTCAAAGGGAGAGAGGCAATGGGAACCCATGCCGGGGATGAGGGGGGCAAAGCAGTCCCCACTAGCACTGGTTCCCTTCTGTGCCTCTTCCTTTGAAATGGACAAGAACCACAGGTGGCTCTCGTACATTCCAAAGGGAGAAGAGCAGCAGTGGGACCGGCGGGAGCAGAACTGTTTAAATCCCCTCAGACAATTTCCCTGCTGTCCCCTGCCTCCTCTGCCCCCAGCAGAGACAACGCTGAGGAGGGGGGGAATTGACTTTTAAGCCGGCTCCCCCCAGTACCAGTTCATGCTCCCCCCTTGCTGCCTCTCTGACGGGGGTGGGGGAGGGAGGCAGTGACTAGTCGAATTCCTATTCTACTACCCGATAAACATTTGCTTATCGGGTAGTTGACTAGTCGCTTACATCCCTAATTTCAATCCTCAGCCGAGCCATGCAGCTGCAGCCCTGGATGCTCCCAGAGGTGGAGCTGCGTGACGGGTGGCTGCTCTGCACCAGGAGCAGCTAGGCAGCCACCACACAGCCTGGAACCTGGTCTGCGGTTCTAAAAATAGCACCACAGCCTTGGCTCCAGTCCTAGCACACAGGGTAGCAGCCCATCATGCAGCCCTGCCACTGGGAGCAGCAGGGGGTGGGACCAAATATGGTACTAAAAACAGCACCATGGCCCTGGCTAGAGCCCCAGTACATGGGGTGGGCTTCCCCGTGTGACTGGGACTGGAGCCGGAGCCATGGTGCTAGTTTTAGTTCCGTGCTCCCAGCCACAGCTGCCATGCAGATGGGAATGGGGCTGCATTGCAGGGTGGGTGCTCTGGCTGCTGCCAGGGCAAGTCTGCATTGGGGGTCAGCTGCTGTGGGATTGTGGCCATGTGGCTGGCAGCTGCTGCCAGCGGGGATTTTTTTTTTTTTTTTTTTGGCCTGGCTCAGAGTGGCCTGGTCTCTAGCCAGAAAGACCCAAGCAGCAGAGGAGTGGGGGAATGCAGCAATTCTGTAGTGTCCAGATGAGACTGCAGGCAGGCAGGATGTTCAAACCCACTAGTTCATATCAGTGCAGTTAATGTTCCAGCGTAGAGCTCACCCTCTCGCACATCTTCCCCAGACAGCACCCCACATCTCTGGCTAGAAGCCATCACCTCCCCCCATGTGGAAAACCAAAGAACTGTCCCATGCTGCAGCTTATAGCGCAGCCCAATCCCACCCCCAAATCCCCAGGTTACTTGGGTCCAGGCAGCTGCTCAGGCTGGAGTGAGAGTCACCAGGAAGGGTACGTCTAGACTACATGCCTCTAGAAATAAAAAAAGTAGCCATCCTATGGAAATATATGACTAACCACCCGAATTATCATAGGGCACCATTATATGGGGTGTGTATGTATGTGTGCGTGTGCGAAATACGGTACACGTACACACACAACCCTCACTGATGTGGCCCCCAACTAAAATACCTTACTCCCTGGCACTTCAGCCCCAAGGGAAGGGAGAGGAGGCAGAGAGAATCAAACTTTCAAAGCTTCCCTCAGGCCAGATTAACTCTTTTATGGTCCTAGGGTTAGTAGATTTTGTAAGCCCCCTCAGGCTCTAGGGTGAGACCAAAATGAGGGGTTCAGAGTGTAGGAGGGGGCTGTCAAAGATTGGGATGGAGGTGAGGACGGGGCTGTGGGTGGGAGATAGTGCTAGAGAAGGCTGGGAATTGGACACGTGCTGGGAGGAAGGGAAGTGCAGGAGTGGGCTGAGGGTGGGGTGTCTGGGAGGGTGCAGGAGTGGACATGGGAAGGACGAGCTGGGGGGGAGGGAGGGAGGTGCAGGAAATCTGGCTATGGGAGTAGCAGAGAAACCCTCCCATGAGCAGTTTCCAGCACTGCATTCCCCCAGTCGGAGGGGGGGAGGGGGGCGAGCAGTACGGCACTTCTCCACCGTGTCAGATCCAGCCCATGAGGCTTGGGGCTCCCCACCCCGGCATAGATACTGTTTCTGAATGAAAAGGTGTTGATGCGGCTATTACAAGGCTTCTTTGTTGGCAGGGTTATTGCGCTTATTCATTGTTTGTTTGTTTTTTTTAAATAGTCACTGCATGACGACGGGATGCTTTGCACATGTGGCTGTTCTTTAGCAAATCAGAATTCTGGCTTGCGCAACTGTCAGTAGGGTGATGGAAGGTAGTGAGTAACGAAGCGCTTCTGGAAATTGTAGTAGAGTAAAAAGTACAATATTTTCTAAAAAAAACTACTTGAGTAAAAGCTGAAGTAACACAAAATAAATTACTTGAGTAAAGTACAAATACCGAAAAAACATACTTAAGTAGTGTAACTAAGTATTTCTACTTAAGGTACGCCTACACTAGCCCCCTAGATCGATCTAGGGAGGCTGAGGGCGACCGAAATTGCAAATCAAGCCCGGAATTTAAATATCCCGCGCATGATTTGCATGTTCCCGGCTGGTCGCTATTTTTGAAGTTGACTAGCCCGAAGTAACTGCCCGCGTCTACATGTGGCAGTGAAATGGAATTCCGATTTAAAGCCCTAACTCGAATTAGCTGGTATTCCTCCTGCAATGAGGAGTCCCCAGCTGATCCCCAGCTCCACTATTGTAAAGTCCCTTTGAAGTGCCGGAGCGGCAACGCAGAGCTAGGGATCAGCTGGGGACTCCAGCTGATCAAAGGGTCAGTGCAAGGGGAGCGGGGTATCAGCTGGAATCCCCAGCTAATCTGTGGCTCCATGTTGCAAAGCCCCTTTGAAGCCCCTTTGCCACTCCAGCACTTCAAAGGGGCTTTGCAACAGCAGAACTGGGGATAAGCTGAGAACTCCAGTTGATCACCGGCTCCATGTTGCAAAGCCCTTTGCAATGCAGAACTGGGGATCAGCTGGGTACTCCAACTGATACCCAGCTCCATTTGCACTGCCCTTTTGAAGTGCCGCTCTGGCGCCTTTAAAGGGCAGTGCTGCATGAAGGCCAGGGTCAGCTGAGAAGTCCAGCTGATCCCAGGCTCCATGCAGCGCTGCCCCATTGAAACGCTACTGCTGCATTTCAAAGGGGAGTTGCGTGCGATTAATCATGATTAAATTTTGTAATTATGCGATTAATCATGATTAAAATTTGTAATTGCTTGACAGCCCTACTTTAAACACAAATTACAAAGCAACTTTTACTATGTAGTTATTACTGATGACTACATATGTTCAGAGGAACATTGGTTTCCACAACTAAATTATATCACACAATCATTACAGGCATTCAAAATCCTTATTGATACTTACTGCTGGGTTTGCATTAGTGGCATGCTAGTATTGTCATAGCTGTCTGTGTGAAGAGGTGGTACAATCTCACCAGTAACTGGGTGAAACACAGGAAGTGTTGAAAGAGGCCATCCTATCTCTCTATTTTTGGACATCTCACGAAGCTCTTTGGTGGATTTCTGTATAGCACTGTGGTGGACCAACTGGATGCTATGTTAAAAGGAAATAAAATAAATATTTTTCTTAAAAAAAGATTCTAAGAATATAGTTTTATAAAACCACTGAAAATTGTTTTTTTCTTTAAAATACACAGGGATTTCGATGCATACTACAGACTACCTCGGCAGAACAGTTATGGTAGAACTTGAGTATAAAACAAACAAGTATTTACATTATTTAATTTTGAAAGTAAGAATTTTGGCTGTGTGCACAAGTATTTTTCTAAAATATACCTTAGACTATGCAACGTTATGTTAATATTCCATTTATTTCCTTGTAAAAATAAAAGTTTTGCTACTGTTTATATTGTTGCTTCTTGTGGTAGATTCATAAATACTCACAGAAGCTTCAAATTTATGGCAGAATATTATGTAGGCACAGGATACCTTTCATGAAAGTTCTTTCTTCTGTCCATTTATTGACTTGGAAAAATGTAGATTTGGAGTCACATATGCAGGAACATGAATTGCATATTAATATTATTATGCTAAATTATTTTATATTAAATTGATCTTTATTACTTCCAAACCCTTTTTATTCAGACCTGCTATCCTTTCCACACCTCTGTATTTTTATAGCAGCTTTCACATATATGAATTAGACTATGAATCAAGGAAAGTGAGAAAAGAGCATGATACATGTATGAAGCATGACAAGCTACTGAGAAATGAAAATTAAATGAGAAAGAAAAATAACAGGAAAGAAGACACTTACTCTGGTGTTTGCATGTTTCTCTTTTCCCTAAAAACAAAACAAAATTTATGAATTAAATAATAGCATTGATAGTTGGAACATTAAATCTATCTGCAGATGGAAAAAGTGTATGATGTGGAAATGCTGACACTGTTACCACCAAATCAAGTTGGTAGCATTTGCCACCGGATTAATGATAAGGACTGGATGAGCACACATAGAGAGCTGTTGATATTGATGACAAGCAAACAGACACCCACACTCACACACAAGTGAATGAAAATGCAAGTTAAAGAAAAAGCTTCTGGCTAAAATAAATTCTATGACAAAATGAATCCAGGTTACGTGTATGATGGCAGAAACTACGTTACTTGCTGCTTTAATTTCATATGTTTGGCTTTTATAACCCTAAATTCCCTTTAGGTCCTTGGCAATATTTATTTTACTAGTGTTAGGTTCTTTAAAATTAATGTTCAGTGAATGAAAATTTTAGTCAAGTTAAATAATTATCCTGAATAGGTGGCTCCTTTATTTATTTATTTATTTATTTATTTGCTTTCTGTGTGTGTGGACAATTTAGCCATTTTGGATTGAACTACAGTCCCTAAATCCATTCTCTTGGAGATTAATATTAATTTTAATGCATGTTCATATGGCAACTGTACAACATATATTAAATATTTGTGTTGGTCTGTTTAAAAAGTATTTTTATGAATTGAATGACACTCATCTACTGAATGTTTTCATAAGTATTACAACATCAGAAAAATATACAATTACTAGTTAATGTTTTAAAGTACTCACACTCCTTCCCGTCGGCAGCACATGATATAAGCAAGTATTAGAAAAAGCACCAGTGCTACTGCCGAGGGCACTGCCAGTGTAATTAGGAAATCCGAGTAATAGTCTCTGCTTTTCAGTGTATCAGACGGTGGTTTATATTCTCCACCATCAGGTAATATTCCCTCTCCACGGATCACTTCCTGATAGGTGGAAACTTGTTTCGTTTTATCAACCTGACACACAAAAAATTAAATAACCAATTAACAAATGCATCTGGAAAATGAAAAGAATTTTAATCAATCATAACTCAGTAAATGCAAACACTACAGAGCACAGCCTTGCAAACTATATGAAATCTACCAACTCTCTATTTTTCCAAAGACTTCTTCATGCAAAGTGAATACATACTTGTCTTAATTCACTTTAAAGACCAAACCACAGAAAATACTTATTGACCTCTTCTGTGACTACCCAAAATGATGACAATGTATGTGAACTAGACTAAGATTCAGCAATTAATTTTATTTAAGCCACTAGATTGGCCCTACAGGAGTATGGTGCCACTAGCTCAGTCATCAGAGATTTTTGCCTTGGCGGTATCCAGAGGGCCAGCCGTGTCACCTCCTTGAACGTCATGCTAATATAATGGCTCCTTCTTGCTGACAACTCCAACCGAGAGGCAGGGAGACAGGTAATGGAATGGATATTAGCAACACATTTCAAAGAACAGCTACGAAAAAGTGGGTGAACATTTTTTTGAGTGATTCCTAATGTCAATTCCATTTTAGGTGACTCAAGCAGTATATATAGAGGTGGATTCAGAGTTCATAGCCTTGCAGATTCCAGCATTGCCCTGCCTAAAGCCAGCATCATCTCGAGCTTGCTGGGTCAGCATGAGACGTGAGCATGAGGACAAATTACCAGGTTGCAGCCCAACAGATTTCTTGGATTTATCCTCAATCTCTCATGGAACATGTCAGGATTTCTGATACCAATGCCCTGGTCAAGTGTGCTGACATGATAGCTGGCAGGGGCATTTTTGTCATCTCATAGCAGTAGCCGAAACAGAACAAGATCAAGGAAGAGATCCTCTGATGGGACACCAGATGACCTTTCATCCTGTCTGCCACAAACAACTTATGCAGACTTACCCCAACTAAACCATCACAATCAGGAATGAAACTTTCCAGGCAGGCAGCAGCAGGAGGGAATAAGAAACCAGAGGCTTAGAAGCAGTCCCCATGAGTTGCAGAGAGGGGCAGGATCTTGGACATGTAGATACAGATGCTCTGGACCTTTAAAAAAATCATGCTGCGAAGACTGACCTGCCTTGAAACAAAGGATGAAAGCCAAAATGGTGGCCAGACGGACCCTGACCAAAGAGCGTGAGGGACACTGGATCTTGAGGTGTAGCAGGTATTCCAGGATGTCCTGCTGGAGTGCCTTCTTGCCTTTGATATGCTGTTTTCAAGGCCCTTTTCCATTTGCTCTCGTAGGTCACACTAGCAGAGGGTTTCCTGCTCCTCGGCAAGATCTGCTGAACATGGACCAGATCCGATACATGGAAGACTAGGGTCAGTGATGTAGACAGGGTGGCGAAGGGAACTTCCTTCAGCATCTATCAGAGATTTAACCATCAGTCCAGAGACGACAGGATATGGTCCGGTACCCTATTGAGTACAAGTTGTGCCTGTGGGGATGCAGACCAAAGCCAGCCATGCTAGATGGAGCCAAGCCTGCCTGACCACATCAGTATTCCCTGAAAGCTGTGTGCTTGGCAGCCATTCAGAAGAGATTCAAATACCATTCAACTGATTAACAAAGTTCCCATAGCTAGGTGTGTTGTTTCTACTAGTGGTGCACATTCACACATGCCTGAGTACAGATAAAATTTATTCTGCACATGGATGGAAAAAATTAAGAGGGGAAATTGGACTACATATGTGCACATGAATATGTGACCCATCAGCTACAGGAAGGTGTGGGCCACAGTCAGTGTGGTTCTTATATGGAAGATAAGGTCTTACATGGCCTGAAAACATGCTTCTGGTAGGAAGACCATGACTCGCGTAGAGTTGAGGATTGCCCTATGTGCTGAACAGGTGTTAAAGGTGGATTTTTTGTTATTTATTATCAAGCCCAACTTGTGGCAGGTGGAACTCGCCAGATCAAGAGTGGTCTGCACCTGCCTTCAAGAACTGCCCAGGACCCCTTGATGTCTCATATAATGCCATGCACTTTGTAAACACCCTCAAGGCTGATGAGAAGCCAAAGGTCAGTGGTGTAGATTAAAAATGGTGTCCACCCACTATGAAACAGAGGAAATATCTGTGACCTGGGAATGTGGAAATTTGGTAATAAGCATCCTTGAAGTTGAGGGCAGAGTACCAGTCTCCCAGATCCAAGAAGGGGATGATAGAGGCCAAGGAGATCAGGCAAAACTTCAACTTCTTGAGAAGCTTTTGGAGTCAAGGAGGTCCAGGATGAGTCTGAGGCCTCTTGTATCTGCAGGAGTAGGAAATAGAGGGAGTAGAATCGTATAGTTGGAAGAGACCTTAGGAGGTCACCGAGTCCAACCCCCTGCCCAAAGTAGGACCAATCCCAACTAAATCATCCCAGCCAGGGATTTGTCAAGATGGGACTTAAAAACCTCTAGAGATGGAAATTCTACCTCCTCCCTAGGTAACCCATTCCCGTGCTTAACCACCCAAATATTTTTTCCTAGTATCCAACCTAGACCTTCCCCATTGTAAATTGAGACCATTGCTCCTTGGTCTGCCATCTGTCACTACTGAGTACAGCCTCTCTCAATCCTCTTTGGAACATCCCTTCAGGTAGTTAAAGGCTGCCATCAAAGGCCCCCTCACTCTTCTGCAAACTAAACAAGCCCAAATCCCACAGCCTCTCCTTGTAAATCATGTGCTCCAGCCCCTAATCATTTTCCTTGCCCTCTGCTGGACTCTCTCCAATGCGTCCACATCCTTTCTGTAATGGGGGGGGGGGGGCACAGAACAAGAGTAGAAGCCCTTCCCTTGCATGTCCCAATGGACCTCCTCCACCATATCCAGGCACAAGACATTTTTTGATCTTCTGAATAAAGAGTGCAAATGAGAAGGGTCCCTG